ATCCATGGCTGCAGTTCGTCATTGGCCCCTCTATCAGTTGGACATTAAGAATGCCTTTCTTCATGGTGATCTTGAGGATGAGGTTTATATGGATAAACCACCTGATTTTATTGCTCAAGGGGAGTCTCGTGGCCTTGTATGTCGCTTGCGTCAGTCACTTTATGGTCTAAAGCAGTCTCCTCGAGCCTGGTTTGGTAAGTTCAGCACGGTTATCCAGGAGTTTGGCATGACTCGTAGTGAAGCTGATCACTCTGTGTTTTATTGGCACTCTACTTCAAGTTTATGTATTTATCTCGTAGTCTATGTTGATGATATTGTTATTACGGGCAATGATTAGGATGGTATTACTAATCTGAAGCAGTATCTCTTCCAGCACTTTCAAACTAAGGATCTAGGCAGATTGAAGTACTTTCTAGGTATTGAGGTTGCTCAATCTAGCTCAGGTATTGTTATTTCTCAAAAGAAATATGTGTTAGACATTCTTGAGGAAACAGGGATGACAGGTTGCAGACTTGTTGACACGCCGATGGATCCGAATTCTAAACTTATGCCTGGACAGGGGGAGCCGCTTAGCAATCCTACAAGCTATAGGCGGCTGGTTGGTAAATTAAATTATCTCACAGTGACTAGGCCCGACATTTCTTATCCTGTGAGTGTTGTAAGTCAGTTTATGAATTCTCCCTGTGATAGTCATTGGGATGCAGTTGTCCGCATTATCCGGTATATAAAATCGGCTCCAGGTAAAGGATTACTGTTTGAGGATCGAGGTCATGAGCAGATCGTTGGGTACTCGGATGCTGATGGGGCAGGATCACCTTCTGGTAGACGTTCTACGTCTGGATATTGTGTTTTAGTAGGAGGAAATTTGGTGTCCTGGAAAAGTAAGAAACAGAATGTAGTTGCTCGGTCTAGTGCAGAAGCAGAATACCGAGCAATGGCTATGGCAACATGTGAACTAGTCTGGACCAAACAATTGCTCAAGGAGTTGAAATTTGGTGAAATCAGTCGGATGGAACTTGTGTGCGATAATCAAGCTGCACTTCATATTGCATCAAATCCGGTGTTTCATGAGAGAACTAAACACATTGAGATTGATTGTCACTTCGTCAGAGAAAAGATACTCTTAGGAGATATTACTACGAAGTTTGTGAGATCGAATGATCAACTTGCAGATATTTTCACCAAGTCCTTCACTAGTCCTCGCATTAATTATATATGTAACAAGCTCGGTACATATGATTTATATGCTCTGGCTTGAGGGGGAGTGTTAGAGATAGCTATGTAGTTGTCCCACATTGGAATATGAGTAGTATCCCCTTTGTATAGAGTAGCTATAAATAGCACCTCTTGTATTGCATCACACACAATATCAATAAATATCATATTTTCTCCCGTGCCTTCTCACAGATGCATCACTTGAAATGATAGTATTTCACTTGAAATACTATCAGTAGTACTTCGAACGTACTACTGATTCCTCCACAGTCTTACGATTGAGAAATACTATCAGTTGTTCGATGCATCACTTGAAATGATAGTATTTCTGTAGTTGATACCTCATTGATTGAGAAAGCAGGGGTGGAAGGTTTGGTTAATAAGAATGTTGTACCAAATGTTACTGCATTAGCTGGGAATGAAATGCCAAGTTATGAAGACTCAGAGATGACTAAACCAATAACAGCTCATGCTACATTACCAAATGATGCAATTGAACAAATTGCGGGGCAGCAAATGCAATCTCAGTCGCAGGATTTCCAGAGGAGCAATTCAGTTTCAACTGTAGTTGCTAAGGACAATGGTACAGGAGCTGAATGCTCAATTTTGGAGAATTTTGTAGCATTAAAGACAGCAGGTTCAGTGAATGCGATCTGGGATAGAGATGTACAACCGACAAAATTATCAAGCAAATATGCAGATGTGACTTTGAAAGATACTGCAATACCATGTAAAACTGGTGCAGCTGCTACTGTTTCGAAGTTGGATGATACAATTGCATTAAATTCTACTGCTGATCGAGCTATATCTAGGAGTATTAAACCTGCTGTTGTGGTTGATTTTCTTGTAAAACCAGCAGGTCCTATAGCTACTAATGTACATAAGGAGCAGCAAGCTGGAGATGATCGTGGAACTGCTGAAGTTACAAATTCGAAGGCTATTGTTGCATTGAAGGGAGCTGGTGATCGAGTAGCTGCAGGGGTTGCTAAACCTACTGCTGATCGAGCAACTAATGCCAAACCAGTAGGTGATCGAGATTCTGCAGTAGTTGATTTAGTTGAAAAATTTGTAGGTGAGGTGCATAAAAAAGATCATAGGACTGGGCAACAAGCAGTTACACAAAAGCCTCTTCTACGTGATGGTGAGGACTAGACCTTTGCAAATAAAAACAAGGGACAAAAGGGCACATCTTTGGATTATATATCTGGTGGTACAATTGAGGAGGGCAAGGTCAATAATGCAACCACAAAGGAAGGAACTTTGAACTTGGTATCAACTAGGAAATCACCTACGAAAAATGTGGTAACATCCAGGCAAAAATCCACAAGTGCTCATCAAAATAATGCTAACATTATGTCCAACTCAAATGTTTTTGAAGCATTGGCAGCCGTAGAGGATGATCAACTGATACCAACAGCCCTTCAAGATGACATTATGAACAAGCAAATTGTTCCATGCACCAGCAACGAAATAAAACGACAAGGCAGTGATAAATTGGTCGAAAATTTTGGTGTTCCACGAAAGGGTTCGGAGAAGAATTTGACGGAACACCTAATAAGCAATCAGGCACATAGCACCAATGCTCCATCATTGTTTTTTTTCCAGTTCACAAGTTGAAAACATTATTAAACAGGCCCAGACAGATATGATAATGAACACCACCTTGGTGAAACAACCAATGGTGACTTTGAACACCTCCGTGTTTGCTGTCCCTTCTCAATCAGTGGAGTCTTTTAGGGAGTTTGAAGGTGACTCTGGGCAGCTAGTCCTGTCAACTGGGAATAATAATGAGGTTACCCAAGCAAAGATAAGGGAAATGGGTATAAAGTCCAAGCTATGGCGTTACCAACGTGAAGAGGATGATGAAGAGGATTGGAGTGATGGGTTTGTTGGCTACTCATCTGAAGAAGGTGAACAAGAAGTCGATCAAGAGAGTGCAGGTGAGAAGCTTGATTCTCCAGTAAAGTCAAAACTTCAAGTAGCAACAAAGTCAACTCCCACGAGCGAATGGAACCTCAATGCACCAGTTTTCGCTCCTAGAAACTATCCAACAGCTGGTATTCAAAAGGCAGTAGCGGGAAGTTTGATTCAAAATGCAGCAACATTTTCCAACCAGGGTACTGTAGGCGATACTACAAGCCAAAATGCAGTACCAACTACAACGTTTGTACTGCAGCAGCAAAGTCATCGAAACACCACAGCTAGTAATCCTACTGGTGAATGCAAAGCAGTAACAATTCAAAGCTTGGGGCAGCAGCAAATTGTGACAACCAATCCACTAATCTCGTCAGAGGAGAGGAAATTATTGGATGCAATGGTAAGTTCCAATCCAATAAACTCCATAAATCCTACTGTTGGTAGCACCGGACGCATGAGTAGAAGCAGAAACAAAATGCAAATCACAAGAAAACAACAAACAAAGGCAATCATGACTAATTCTCATGATGGAAACACTTTGGTGACACAAGGTTTTGATCATGACATGCCAAATCCGGTAATTGTGGGCAGAGATACATATGAAGAAGGTGAGGAAGAAGATATTATAAATCAATGCCGGGCAGAGGCAGCAAGAAAAGGGGATCTATCACCAATGCATAGCGGCAAAGGTAAGAAGACTCATGCAAGGAAAAATAGTTGGGACGATAAGGTTAGTGATTTTTTAAATATTAGGCGACCTCCAATGAGAGTTGTCAAACAAAAGTAGGCTGCTCCAACTACATCAACGAGGTCCAACCGTTCAAAAAAGAAATGATGATTTTTGAATACATTTTGAACACGGTTGAGGAAAACAACAAAGAATTACAAATTGAAGATTTTACGAGTTTGGACAAGAAAGGACAAGAATTTAATTCCTACTACATTCTATTTTATCATTTTATAAGTATTATCATTTGTAATATCATCACAGAGTATGTTATACACTCTGTGATGATCATTGAATATTTGGTCCAATCAAGTTCTTATTTCTTACATGCATGTTAGTAGGTGAGACATTTTTCTTTGCCTCAATAGGATTAGTAAGGTAAGGTTTAGCCCGGTTAGTGTTGTCTTGGTCCTATGCCTTTGGAAAAATATCCACACGGCCATGAGATTATATGCCCTCGTGAGACTTTGCCGGCAGCTACACCATGAATCCTCTACATGAGGCTGCCATCATAAGGCAATGTGAGGCGCAAATGAGTGATTAAATAGCCAAGGCATATGGGTAACAATACCGGTGCTATTGTCCCCCTTATTTGTACTTTTCCTAATTATAGTATTTTTCTTTTCTTTTTTATTAATAAAAAACTAGCCCTAGACGTTTGCCTAGCGGATTGCCAAAAAAAAAAAACTTAATTATGTAGTCTGCTAAAAATACAGGTGGAGCCATCTATAACTTACGCGTAGAGTTTGTATAAACAAACCTAGACACGTACTATATGCATATTGTAAGCGTTGAGAAGAATTACTAATATACCCTCGAGCTTTTTAAAAATGACATGAAACACACATGTCCAAACTCTTTCTCTTCTAAAGAAGAGAAACATAAAATTTCGCAAGTGGAAAGCCATTTCTCGGTGGCTATTTCAAGTTATTTTAGTTTTCTTTTGTATATCAGTATTAGTTGACCAAAGGGAGAGATCCGTGAGAAGTTTGAAGTTCTTTGTATGGTTTGCCTCTTCAGGACATGAAAAACTGAAACAAAATTCTGGTATCCGGATTATATTTTTGATATAATTGGAGGAGCAACTAATCTCTTGTTGCCACTCTCAGTAAAGGAAGGTGAGATTTCTTTTCAGGTTTCCACTTTTTTCTTTTTTGTTGCCACTCTCAATTTCGATTTCTTTTTTGTCCTACTGTTTTATGTAATTGTATACACTGGTTCTGCTCTGTTTTAAGTTGTTCGTTTACACTAACCCACTGAGTTTAAATTCTGGAGATATGTCTTCTTTGTCCTTCAAATGATATCCACACCTTCTAATTTCCTTCTTACTTTATGAGAAGCTCAATGTTACAAGTTGTTCGTTGTTCTTATCCAAAATACTTAATAACTAGGAAATTTCCTTATGTTTCCTTTGTCTCCTACCGTAATTCAAATAATTTGAACATTGAAACTTTCATAATATTTTCATCAATTTAATACTATGAATTTGGAACTTCAAAATATTTCCTTAGTTCCCAATCTTGGACGTTGAAGGCAACTCTTCAACTTCGTCCTCCTTTCCCTCTTTCTTCTGTTCATTTTTAACTGATTACCAAAAAAAAGGCAAAGTTTTTCTTGTGGGAAATTTAATGCTAAATTGCAGGCTTTTTGAAATGTAATTAACCTTTTGCAAAATTATTAATGTTTACTTGCTTATATGGGCGTATATCTAAAGCACACTTACTATGTAAAAGGGAGAAATAAACGGAACTATATACTCTCACACACATGTAAGGAGGGGCAGGGACCTGGCATACCTTCAGTGACGAAAAAAAAACATCCAACAGAGGTTAAGGTGTAATGTTATAAATTAAGATTTTGAGGGGGAATCTTGACGTAACTGGTAAAGATGATGCCATGTGACAAGGAGGTCATGAGTTCGAGCCGTGGAATCAGCCTCTTACAGAAATACAGGGTAAGGCAACTTACAATAGACCTTGTGGTCCGACCCTTTCCCGGACTCCGCACATAGCGGGAGTTTAGTGCACCGGGCTACCCTTTGTTATAAATTGAGATTTTTGGAGCTTGACTCCTTTAGTCATCTCGAGTATATATTGGTGGTCTGGTGGCCTTTAGACCCATAAGACTTCACATGTGGTACTACTTTATTACTATTACTATTATTTTTTGGTTTGGATTCTTTCTCTAAATTATGAAGAATGTTGATGTTGTTTTAATTTCTTTTATGAAGGTGACAGAGCTATAGCTCAAGGCAGTTAGATTAAAGTTACCACAATCGTGTGAAAGACACCAATTAGCAGTAGTTTTCAACAATTGAGATGGAGGTTGTTGAGACATGTGGAAAAGGAACTATTTATTCTGCACAACCTTCCACCAAACATAATTTTCCATCAACTGATGAGGAAGTTGTGGGCTTTGTGAAAGATGCAGAAAGTATAATGAAGAAATTGATTGTAGGAACAAAGGAGCTGGACGTTATCTCAATCTTTGGAATGCCGGGATTGGGTAAAACAACTTTGGCCAGGAAAGTGTACAACAATCCTTCTATTGTTAATTACTTTGATGTTAAAGCTTGGTGTTCTGTTTCGCAAGCATATAATAGGAGGACCTTGTTGCTTGAGATTTTCAAACAAGCAACACGTGATTAGAGCCAAATCAAAGAGGATGTTGACATAGCTGACAAGTTGCAGAAGACTCTAAAAGGCAGGAGATATCTCATTGTATTAGATGATATATGGGAAATCGATGCATGGGAAGATTTGGGGTTATGTTTCCCGAAGGGTGAAGATGGAAGTAGAGTAATGGTGACAACTCGAATTGAAGAGGTGACTAAGCATCTTCAGCACCGCAATGATCCTTATTCTCTTAGATTTCTGACATCGGAAGAGAGTTGGGAATTGTTGCAGAAGAAAGTATTTCGAGGAGAGAGTTGTCCACCCAATCTATTGGAAGCAGGATTACAAGTTGCGGAACATTGTAAGGGATTGCCTCTTGTGATTGTCCTGATTGCTGGAATTATTGTGAAAATGGAAAGGAAGGCGTCCTTGTGGCTGGAGGTGGCAAATGACTTAAGTTCCCTTGCTTTAGGAGAGCAGGGTACGAAAGTAATACAATCGAGTTATGACCATTTAGAAGACCAATTAAAGCCTTGTCTTTTTTATATGGCATTGTATCCAGAAGACTATAAGATTCCAGTGTCTGATTTGCTAAAGTTATGGATAGCTGAAGAGTTTGTAGAGAATATTGACACAGAGAATCTAGAAGAAACATCTAGAATTGTCTTGAATGATCTACTTAAGAGAAGCCTAGTGATGGTCTCTGGCCGACAGGAAATTAATGGTGCCATAGAATACTGCTCACTTCATGATTTAGTGCGTGAGTTTTGTTTGAGAAGACTTGTAGAAGAAAAGTACTTTATGCAACTCGCAGTGCGATGCAGTTCAAGTCAACATTTGTATTCCAAGGAATCACGGTTATGCATTTATATTCATGATGAACTTGTTAAACAATTAGATCATTATGAATATCGGTTGGATAAGATTCCAATGTTCGAGTCCAAGCAGTTAGATTATTATGAATATCAGTTGGACAACATTCCAATGGTCAAGTCCAAGGAAACAAAGCGTTTTGGTCAATGTTCGAAGTTTTTTCAGTTCATTGCTCATCCAAAATCCAACATATGGAACCGATTAGATTCTTTGCATTCACTTGTTAAATTAAGATTTGTTCAGGCGTTGCATTTGACTGAAAGGGAATTACCAAGTTCTTGGATTACGGCAGTACAATCACTAACTCACTTGAGGTACCTTGCAATTTTTGTCAAAAAAATTGATTTCAAGTGGGTATCACACCTACTCTATCTCCAAACTCTAGTGGTAGATTATTCAAGTTATCCATTTAGGACATCGACTGCTGCATTCTGGAAAATGACCAAGCTAAGGCATGTGAATATAAACTTATTTTCCTTTACGGGCGAATGGGATGATAAAACTGGTCAACCAATTTTAGAAGAACCTTCAGAAAGTATGCTAGAGAACTTGAAGACTTTGCACACTTGTCGTGTTGCTGTGAGCGATGCGGCTCGGAAGGTCTGGTGGAGGTGTCCGAATCTTGAAGAACTCAGCCTCAATATTCTAAGTGTACCTAGTTGTTCTTTGTTTCCCATACCAGAACTTCATACTCGGCTTCAATCTCTTAAACTAGAAGCCGGGCGCTCATATGAAGAAAAATATGAAGTTGGATGGTCCAGCTACATTAACTTCCCTCCAAATCTTAGGAAGTTGTGCATTCGCAACATTTTTCTAACAGAAGAAATAGTTTCAAATATCGCAAAACTGCAGAAGCTTGAGAGTCTCGAAGTATATAGAGGATATCTTGTGGGGAATGGTCAGTGTTTAGACGTCAGATATGTCGAGTTCCCTGCACTCAAATTCTTCACGTTATTTGTGCTCTTTATGGAAGAATGGAAAGCTTCAGAGGAATCCTTTCCCATGCTTGAGAAGCTAGTTGTACTAAATTGTGAAGACCTCGACGAGATCCCTCTTAGCTTTGCCGATATTCCAACACTCCAACTTATTCAAGTGATAAACTGCATGGAGTCTGTTGAGGATTCAGCTATGGATATTAAAAGAGAAATAGAAGAAAACACAGGCTGTGACACTCTCCAAGTTCGTATATCATACAATGGCTACTAAAGCTGGTAAGTCATTTTAGTTGCAAATTTTAGTAACTTGTGTCTTGCATATTGAAACTCAACTCTATACTCGGCATTACTATTTATATCATACTTGAGCGGGCAACATTTGGGAAAGTATAATAGTTTAATGATTCTCATATGTCATATATCCTTATTCTCAAAAATTACGTTATGCCAATCAATACATATAGCATAGCAGGTACTCCCTTTTTAGAAAGAATTTAAGTAAACAATACTATCATTATTCATTCATACAACTCATTTGGCATTTCTATATATAGTTTTCTCTCAATCGTTTGACATTTAATTTGTAGATGTAGCTTTGTTGCAATAATTGATTTCATTTTCCTAACATTGTTCCATATTTCGTTTGCAGACTCCGACATATCCATCCTCGGGTCTGCGACCTTCTCAACAGAGGAGACAACCATTCTTATTTTTTGTTCTGCGCCATATCTGAGCATTTGTTAAAGAGATGAAAGGAATTCTTCTGATTTCTGTATGGCTTCGTCCTGAATTAAGGTTGGCTTTTCACTAGAAACTCAGCCTAGAGTTGATTGACCAATTCCCCTGAGCTTAGGGGTCAATTACGGGAGAGTCGGAAACTATTGCATCTTTTCTAAAGCGGCATTCTCCCTTCAGTCTATCTTATGCCATCTATGAACTAATGTATGTATGTGATATCCAATATTCTTATAATGTTGTTATAAGGATAGTCGTCACTATGTTTAGTCAGTCAGACTCAATTAATGTCACAGTTCAAGATTACTCGTAGGCATTCTCAAACGTGAGCTTATATGGCTCAAGTTTAATCTGAATAGTCCCACGTCAGTTTTGTGATAATCACGAATCATGGATGTGAATGCGTGCACATTCAATTTCTCTATTCTTTTTCTTAATCCTAGATCTAGAATAAGATATATTGATGTTACTCAACTCTAAATTATTACTTAAAACCAAGTTTTACTATAATCTTATTATTCAAGCACCACCAACAATGTATTCTAACTCTAGAATGAGTCATTAATATTAGTCTATTTAATCTTGGGAGTTGGGAAGTAAAATTGGACAATCATTTTTGAATTGAAGGTAGTACTCCTTAGGGGTCGTTTGGTAGGGTGTATTAGAATAGTGCGGAATAAGGTGTATTAGTAATGTATGGATTAGTGATGCATGAGTTAGTAATGCAAGCATTAGTTATGCAAATATTATTTCTTATCTATTGTTTGATGTGGTGTATTAAAATTATAATGCATTGCATAATTTTTAAGAAAAATAGTTGCTTACAAAAATGCCCTCCATATTCTCTAGCTTTAAGGGACTTTAAGGATAATTTTGTCTTTAACCATGTCAATGCATGCATTAAAGCCTTGGTATTACTAATGCCATGGTTTTCTATGCATTACTTATGCATAGGATAATGCAAGTATGATGTATAACTAATACAAGTATTAGTTATATACAAGTTGAAACAATGTACCAAACAAGGTATTAGTAATGCATAGAACTAATGCTTGCATTATTTTTTCTAATACCTCCTACCAAACGACCCCTTATAGTTAATGTTTGCAGAAAAACATAGAGTATAGTCCAATTTTGAATTATATATTCCACTTAAGTCGCATATCATGTGCGNTTAAGTTTGTATACCTTCTTAACGTGTAGGATTAATTAACATGTACTCCATTTATTTGTTTACTAATTTACTTGTTATTCCCACAACAAAACTATATATATCACTCTTCATTTTTCAAGATTGAAGTCCACCATCTCCTATAATATTCTTTCTCATTTTTTATTTCTCTAACCATCAAATTAAGCAAACTTGGAGCAATTAATTTCTCTGTTTCCACTCTCAATAACGGAAGGTGAGATTTCTTCTTAGCTTTCCACTTATTTTATGTCAGTTTGCTATTTCTTCTATTCTGATTTTTTGTAGAAAAATGTTAAGTAACTTTTTTATGTCTTCTTTATGTTGTGATTATGGGTTTCTTTTCTTTCCAAAATTCACCCACCAGATCTAGAACTATATATAAAGTTAGGCAAAGAAAAGGTAAAAATAGTACGGGCTAACCAGTTTTCGGACTAGTCATCGAAAAATAATTAGCGTTTGCAAAGTCATTGAAAAATAGCCACTATTTTTCTGAAACACGGAAAGTTCCAGCATAATATACTGGAGATTGGTGCACCTATGTATGAACTTCCAGCATATTATGCTGGAACTCCAACACACAGAAAGTTCCAGAATACTATATTGGAGATTGGAACACCTGTTATGAACTTCCAGTTCCAGCATATTATGCTAGACCGGTATATTATACTGAAAATCCAGTATATTATACTGGAACTCTTCTTCTCGTTTTAATGTAAGATTGAACCTTCTTTCTTTTTTATTTTACCTGCTTTTTGTTCTTTGACTCCCAATATTTATATATCTCTACGAAGAAAGCACGTTAATTTGTATTTGAATATTATTGAGCCCAAACTTGGTAGCATATAATATGGATCAACTGTAATATACCACTTGTATTCTAAAATATACACTACAATAATTCTAAAATCAAATACTTTCACTCTCTTATTATTGAAATCCTACACAAATTAAATATAATATTTATCCAGATATTTCAAAGCCCAACACTTAAAAAGACATAAGATCCTCACAAGAATAAAAAGCACTTTCTTTTGCAACAATTCTAGGTAATTAAGCCACCATTGATTATAACTGATTTCTCGAGCATTTAAATTGTGAGTTTCTTAAAGGCGGAATTCCATGAGTATATTAAAAAGAAACTTCGGATTATTTATAAATCCCTTAAATTTGCAACTAAGAATTCACATGAATTAATTGGAAACCGAAGAATTCTTCGCAGCCACAAACGTCTGAACTAAAACATCCTTCGACGTAGACAAAAACATGGTTGTACTTTTCCTTCTTTGTCAGCATTATCGACTTGTAGAGACAATAAAATAATAATTAATTAGTCCTTTCTTTTTTTGGCCAACGTACCACATCGACAAGCAACCTAGGCAAGGAACTATTTATATATCAGTGAAGCAACTTGGATGGATACGACCTTACTTGAACAGGATCTGTTCTATAGGCCCGTACCACCTTATCCTTGAGTTCTAAGGAGACAGGAAACCAAGTCTGGTTGATGAGACATGGCCACTAGACTAGAGCGTGATTAATAGCTCCCATGGCCCTCGGGTCATGGTGTTGTAGATGATCGTTCTCAGCCCCTAATTATAGGTGTTGGGATGGTCTAATGGCTGTCTGACAGACTCTTCCAATTTTTTTGCTTGCCCTCGGGTCATGGTGTTGTAGATGATCGTTCTCAGCCCCTAATTATAGGTGTTGGGATGGTCTAATGGCAGACTCTTTCAACTTTTTTGCTATGTTACATGCGTGAATATGAAAAGAAATAATTTATGTGGAAATACATGTGAGGTATTTAAAAAATAAATGTTACTGTTAGGAAATAAAGGTAATCAACCAAATTTAGCATGTATTCTCTTTTCTTACATAATTTAGCCTATTTTATGTATAATCTGAAACTTCATTTTACCTATTTTATGGATTGTTAATCTTGTTTTCATTGCTCTTATTGAAGCTGATAAAGCTATTAAATATAAGACCATTGGACTTTTGTTTCCACAATCGTGAGAGACACCAGGCTAATTGACATGGAGCCTTCCACCAAACGTAGTTTCCCATCAACTGATGAGGAAGTTGTGGGCTTTGTGAAAGATGCAGAAAGTATAGTGCAGAAATTGACGGGAGGAACAAAGGAGATAGATGTTATTTCAATCTTGGAATGGCCGGACTCGGTAAAACAACTTTGGCAAGGAAGGTGTACAACAATCCCTCTGTTGTTAATCACTTTGATATTTAAGTATGGTGTACTGTCTCACAAACATATAATGTGAAGACATAGCTGACAAGTTGCGCAAGAGTCTAATAGGCAGGAGATATCTCATTGTGTTAGATGATATATGGGAAGTCGATGTATGGGAAGATTTGGGATTATGTTTCCCTAAAGGTGAAGATGGAAGTAGAGTAATGGTAACAACTCGAACTGAAGAAGTGGCTAAGCATCTCCAGCACAATAGTGATCCTTATTCTCTTAGATTTCTAAGATTGGAAGAGAGTTGTGAATTATTGCAAAAGAAAGTATTTCGAGGAAAGAGGTGTCCTCCGGATCTACGGGATGTAGGGTTACAAGTTGCCCAACACTGTAAGGGATTGCCTCATGTGGTTGTCCTGATTGTTGGAATTATTGTGAAAATGGAAAGGGAGGCATCCTTGTGGCTGGAGGTTGCAAATGACTTAAGTTCTGTCATGGGCGGCTTTCCAGCCATGCCCCATGACCTCTTGGGCGCGCCCTGTGGCGTCCTAGCAAGCCTCCCAATGCCTAGCACCACGGACGGCCCTGTGGTCTTGGCCGCGCCAAGTGACAAGCGTGCATGTGCCTCTGTCACCCCACCAATATCCCTCGCCAGCGCCCAACTGCAGGCAGATGCCAACAGCGTCGCGCGCACAGATAACGCCGTGCGCGCAGACCCTGATGCCAAAGACTATGCTGCTGACAACGGACATGTTTCTGCCTTGTAGAAAACTCATTGTAAATATAGAGTAGTTTTATTCCATGTACTTCCATTATGTTTCTCTAGCTTAATCAAGTCTAGTCTTGTAGCTTTCGTATATTATTTTTAAGCATTATTAGGGGGGATCAAGCATTCGAAACTTTCTAGCAAGCAAACAATTCTCTGTACTGGTGTCTCTCCCCCTAGACACCGCGTTGCCTTTCTGTAATAGCTTTCATTAATGCAATTAAGCTTTATTTCATTCTCAATTCTCACTTATGTTCTCTCAATTGCTCTTGATATTAGTTTTCCCGTACGACACTGACAATCTGGTCTAGTGTACGGAGGGGACCTTAGTTGGCGGACAATAACTGCACTGACATCAGTTGCTTAGCCTTACGTCGCCCTTCCAAGGAATCTCAGGAAGGCGCCGCGTAACAGTTGGTATCAAACCCTAGGCTCGACATCGGACGAGGAAACGTATTGCCATTACCACCATTTCTGACCATGGTGAATTATGGGGACCGCATTGCGGCCCTTGAACAGACAGTTGACGAATTACAGCCCATCGTAGATACGGTGCCTGAACTAAGAACCAGCCTAGTGCAAAGTTTGGACGACCTAGACCGCAGGGTGCTCCAGGCCGAAGTTGACATAGAAAACATCAGTCGCGACTCCGAGAGAGACCGGAAAATGGCAGCCACATAGGCAGCCAAAATTTTTGGCAAATTCGAGGGACTCCAACAGGAGCGTGCCGAGGATTTAGCTTACAGGGCACAAGAGGCAGACAGGGTGACTGCCATGCAACAAACTATTGACGACTTGACAGAAAAGCTCAATGCCGTCAATGCTGCTTTACAGGGCCTGCTTCGAGGAGGTGGAAACCAAATCGGGGGCACTGTGAACCCCCCTTCCGCGACACAAAAACTGAAAATTCCTGAGCCAAAGACATACTGTGGATCTAGGAATGCCAAGGAATTGGAAAACTTCATCTTTGACATCGAACAGTACTTTGATGTTGTTGGGGGCCTAGAAGAAGCTAAGAAGGTAGCAACTGCTGCCATGTATCTTCAGGGTGATGCTAAACTTTGGTGGCGGGTGAAGTATGAAGCCATCAAGACCGGTGAAGATGCTCTCGAGACATGGGCAGAACTGAAGGCAGCCATACGCCTAAAATTCATCCCCGAAAATGTTGAATACAATGCAAGGAGAAAGCTATGGGAGCTCCACCAGACCAAATCAGTACGGGACTACGTGCGGGAATTCTCTGCG